CAAAATGTACAGAGGAAATGACTGCTACCTGGCACTTGGACTCCATAAACGTTGGCCTCTTTGAGACAATCACTGAGCGTCAGGATGTCAGACACCTCGTTTGTGGCCACATTCTCACCTTTCCACCTGTTGAACAAACAAGTTGCAACTCATATCGATTTTGATTTTGTTTATAAAAAGTACAATTTACAAAATACTCGCGTGAGAAACAAACCATAACAATAAGGTTGTACATTAAGTGTTGCAGGACTGTCTCGTAAAAATTCTCCAGTTTAGATAGTTGTGGTAGAAAGAGAGTTGTAATAATAATGGATTGCATCTCAAACGGGAAGTAGATCATCATTTCAATACAAAAGAAATACAAAAGCACATTTGGGAGAAAAAAACTAATAAACCTTGTGTTTTTTTTTTTTATTTCATAATTTTTCTTTTTTCTAAATTTATACAAAAAGTGGCAGAATTTCTCTTAAACCTGCTGCAGCTAAATTAACGAGTAAAGAGATTCTACTCTACATTAAAATCACTGTGTACATGAGTTCTGTACCTGAATGTGTCACCTACACGATCCTGAAAGTAAATGAAGTTGTCTTTATCAATCTTCATTAGGTCTCCACTGTTGAAGTAAAGATCTCCCTTCTTGAGAACATTGCGAAGTCTTTTCCTTTCCGTTTGTTCCTCGTTCTGGGCGTATCCCACGAAAGGAGCGATGTCTGTGATCTTCGACACCAGCAGTCCTGTCTCACCTTAAGGAGAAAGACAACGAGACATGTCTTTTACAGCCGTTGTCTATCAATGGAATACTTTCCCCCATCTTCGAGGTCCTGATTTAGTTGGTAAACAGCCCCTGCTGTCTACAAGATCCAGATGTTATATCGAGGGTCATGGTGCATAAAATAAGCATAGACATATATATCAAGTTTAGGCTGGAGTTTCTTCACCTTTGAGCGACACCACACAGAGGCCGTTAGCATCTCGAATCGGTTCATCCCGCTCCGTGTCGTACTTAATAAGAGTGAAGGGAAACAGCTTCTACAGGAGTAAAGAAGTAAAGACATTAGAGTTGCTTTATATGCATTATACAGTTGAATAAAAATAATCTATTGACAGACATGACATTCTAATAAATGACATATGTGTGATTTCAACAAATGTATATATATATATATATATACGTACCTACTTTTACACACACACTTATTAATTGGCTGTAATTGATAGCAGGAAGACTGTTGACAGAATATTTTTTTATTTTTCCATTCTTACCTGATGAAAAAAGTTAACTCGCCCAATAGCTCCAATTTTCCCGGCGTAGTTGATAAATCCCACATTTCCCTCTGTGGAGGCGTAAAACTCTCGGACCTGAATGTTTCCAAAGCGATTGAGAAACTCCCTCCATATCTCTGCTCTGATCCCGTTGCCAATGGCCATTCTTACTTTATGTTCCTTGTCATTTTCTTTCTGCATTGTCACATAAAAAAAGAAAATTAATAGATCAAGCATTTTGCAAATATTACAAAAATACATGATTGATAGTTGCTGGAATTGACTGACTGTAAAAATCTTATCAAACATAGAAGAAATAGTGGAGGTGGGGCCAAAAAACACCTGTCAGCAGTTTTTAAGGGGGTTTATAAAATGTGAGA